ACGCCACGCTTGTTTTGTGACAACAAATCTACTTTATTTATTGCTGCTAATCCTGTTTTCCATGAGCGCATGAAACACATCGACATTGATTGCCATATTGTTCGAGAGTGTGTACAGCGCGGTGAACTTGTCACATCTTATGTTCCTACTCGTCTTCAGATTGCTGATATCTTCACTAAAGCCCTGAACAGACCTCTATTTTCGTTCTTACTATCCAAGTTGGGCATTTGTGATCTCCATGCTCCAACTTGAGGGGGAGTGTTAGCGTATATTTATTTATTTATTTATTTATTTATTTATTTATTTATCTCCATGTATGTATTTATTTCCTTGTAAGTAATCCTTACCATAGTTGTATTAGGAAACTTGCTTGTATATATACTTTGTGAATACTCAATGGAAACCAATTCAGTCTTTCACAAAATTCTACAGGAATCAAAGAATATCAAAGCCAAGAAAACCCTCTTTTTGCATGCTCTCTCTCATTTAGCTCCCCTCCCCGCATGTGTTGGCAGGTTGGTGATATGGCCGAGCTGGGCATATCGGAGGCATTCAAAGTCAAGCAAGCAGTACTGCTCTCCGCGACCGAGGCTTCGGAGATGATTTTACGGGTCGATGAACTTATCACGTGCGCACCTCGCCGCAGGGAAGACAGAATGTGAGTTCAACTAATGGTTACAAATCTTCTGCTGCTTTCTCTTGGCTGAGTTTTGTACTTTTTCTGTCCCTCCTATTTCTGCTTCACTTTTGAATTGAAGTTCCATTGGAGCAGAATCTGCATTTGCTAGCATCTCTTTGGACGATGATACAGTTTTTTTAATGTGGGTTTCATCAAATTTTCGCAACCAAAACTTGTCGGGTTCGTTAATCTACTTCTGCTTATAGATTATGACTTTTGAAGTGTAAAATGGGCTCCAGAGATGCTTTTAAGCAAAGTCAAAACTATCCAATTTTTGCTTATACTTAAAACTTCAGTTTTTTCATCAACCTACCACACCCCCAAACACCCTCTAAGTACGTAATTAATTCAAGATCTTGTTTGGTAAGTATGATTATTTGGTAGCACTAATCTATTACTCTCTCAATCAGTGTAAGGGAGCCTCAAAGATCTTTGATAGGATGATAGTACTCTTTTATTACAATAGACTAATGTGGTATAATAAAAGAAAAGGTGACATGATTATATTATTTTATTAAATGAATTTCGAAAAAGAGTAATGATTAAGCTTTGAGTCTTAGAATGATGAATAGGTAACTTAAATTGTGATGGAGGGAGTATAAGATTTTTATACGCAAGAATGAATAATTGTTTGTCGTGTGAATAAAAAGATGTGTAGGTTAAACTTTGTGTTTAGAATTTTTTTTTGCACGATCTCTATGTAAAGAACACTTAACACTAATCGGTTGGCACAAAAACAGACGTTGATCGTATGTGTGATACAGATAACTATCATCTGTGTTTGTCTGTGCGAAGCGTGGGTGGCCCATTGTAACACTCATGTGGTGGTAGCAACATTTTTCATCCCCCAAATACCCTTAATGTTATATTCATCTCTCTCCGAGTAAGGATATGATTTGGCCAATGTATCATGTTCTTTAGTCGCATTAATGTCCTAATGCCATTACACAATATCATGATTTGCGACGAAAAGAGTACAAAAAATGAACGGAATACATTGAAATTTGAGGTATTATAAAAATTCAAATGTTTCTCTTTTAGATATATTTTGTTTGTAAATTGCAAAAAAAAAAAAGACTTGATTCACCATGCATTACTTTGTTTAATCTCCCTCTCTAAAGTCAAAACACCACATCTGTTTTGCCTTCTTATTTTCTACTCTCTTTGTCCAAAAAAACGAAGGTAGTACGAGATTATAGATTGTGCTAAAAAAGACTCTTGTTTGGATTTAGTTCTTTCTTTATTTTCTTTTTGGGTTATCAGAAATTAATAGTTCATATATATTAAATTTACTAGACATATTCATGAAAATCATAAAAAAAATGCTCCACAAAGGGCATATTATTCTTGCACTATTTTCTTTTTGGCCGTTGTATAATGTATATTCATTTGTCTCCAAAGGGCATATTAGTCTTGCACTTTCCTTAATTTCTACACTTTTTTAATTTCACACTTCTCGAATTTTTGCAAGAAATGAATATGTGGCTCTTGTTATTTCTCAATCATAGAAATAAATTTCAATTACATTCTTTTTACTTTTCATGTAACACTTTTATTATTCAATAATTTTTTAAACGCGGTGAAGTGTAAAATTTTAAATTTAGAGTTTCTTGGTACGGAGAAGTATAAAGTGTTACGGAGATTTCTCGATGGATTTAAATATTCAAAAATGCTTCATTTTTTTCTTCAAATTGAACAAAAAATAATCTTTCAAAAGCCTTTCATTATTGATTTAGACCTTTCAATTAGCGTTAGTACTTTGGGTCACTTTTTAATGGTGCATATTAACTATAAAAAGCTAGGTTACAAAAGTATGCAATATTATTAGGTACAAAGTAATTTTTTCAAAACATTGAATCTATTGTGAAACAGATCTAGTGAGTCTTTTGGAATACCTTGCATAGTTCCATTTGATTCGATGCAATTTAAATTTTAATTTTGAAGAACATAGTAACAACCCAATTAGCCTTGACAAACAACTTTTGCCAATAGATAATTAGGGATATTACATCGAATATATTAAACGTACAATTGAGGATTTGAAGTATCTCTTCAACCTTGTTAAAAAGTAAGGTTTCTGAAGAAAAAAGAGTAAGGGTGCCCAAGATGGTTGTTACTATGAATGCTCCCAAGCTTCGCACAAATGACATATATGATAATCAGCTGTGCGCAGTTTGGATGCATCCATGATAGCAACCATTTGGGAGCATCCTAGCATTTTTAATAAATATTAAACAACACATCTCTTATAATATGCTTCATCCCTTTGTCAAAATTCTTCCTATTTACTTCTTTCGTCCCAGAAAACCTTTTTTCTTTCTTTTTTCATCCGTCCCAAAAAACATTTCTCATTTCTATTAAAAAGTCACTTTTACCCCTTACTTTTTCATACCCTACCTATCACATCATACCTTTTTAGTAATAATCTATCCATCAAATCATACTTTTGCCCATCACATCAAAGGACATTTTTAGAAATTCAATATCAAAATACACTCCCCTTAAATCCCTCTCCAAAACCAAAACTCTCATGTTTTCCGGGACGGAGGGAGTACTATTTAAGGTATCCAGATAACATTTATTTGCGTGTGTTTTTAATTGGTCATTTGACAGTAAAATACTTTTATCACAACTTTTGAAGAATTTTTTATTCAGCTTTTAAATATTTATGTTTTACTTTTAATTTATACACCAATTTGTAAATAAAATCATTTTATAAAAGATGAGATTTTACATGTAAAATAAAAATCAGAATTGTTTTTAAAAATAGAGGGAGTACTTCGTAGTAAAGGCAAATTCTTCCATAGGGACAACTTAAATATATTAAATTTTTTTACACTAATGTACATTATAGTTTTTACTTAATTAAGGCTAAAAGTTCTTCCAGGTTGACACAATAAGTAAAGGAGACAAGAGAAATTGACCCGGTCAAAGTATCAAGGAGCCTACCGCGGCCTGGGTGTGATCTCCGTGACAAGGTAAATTCGAGACGATTCATCAGACAACTAGCCTAACCTGCAGAGTTTGCCCGGGCCGTGTAGAGGTAACCTTATCAGGTTGGGTCCCATGCACCTACTCAATGTAGCAGTAGCATAGAGAGCAAATTGTAGTGACCTGGTCAGAGTGTCTCGAAGACTACCCAGGTGCAAAATACGTGACCGGGTGAAAAGCACGATATACCTTCGAGAGATCACCTGGGTAGGTTTGGACCAAAATCCACTCCGGTGGATTCATACCTTGTACAATAACAACAAACCTAGCATGATAATCTAGTCGTATTTATCCGATAATGGGTGTATTCCACCCGGGCCACGACCCGGGTCGGGTCCAGCCAGGAGCAACTGGGTGAATCCCGAACAATACGCAACCATGTAGCTTGGGTGGATCTGTTCATGACAAGGTCCTAGAGGCAGGCCACCCGGGTGACTTTCAAGCGACGGGTGACGTAGCATGGCACTACACTAAAGATCCTCAAATGATCAGGATGTCCCTTCAAGAAAGAACCCGGGTGGATTTCCATGACTCGTTCTAGCGCGCGTGTTGACAACTCAGCGCAGTTGGACGATAGTGCTTTGGGAGCCACTTGGTCAGGACAAATTCCTCTGCAGCAACGGGCCTATCTAGGTATTCCCACTCAAGCACTACGCGCCAAATAGGGATAGTCACAAAGGGAAAGCTCAAGGGAAGAAGGGACAAACACTACAAGACAAATAGGCATCGGGACCTGCACACTGTCACGTGGCCTTCATGTGCTCAGTTATGGTCGCATGCCAGCATGTCCCCTAGCTTCAATATAAATAGACTTGTAACCTTTAGTAGAAGGAATCAAAATTTCATCTCTCTAAAAGTGTATTGTGTAATATTTCCATGTACTCTTTCCATACTTAATAACAATCAGACTACAAGTGTTCCACCTACATGCCTCCAGTCACTCTCTAGTTTTATGCACTTTCAATGTAAAATTTGTTCTAAACAGGACTAAAACATAATGACTTTCCCAATGTAGGACTTAAACTTTTTTATTCCCTAAATAGGACATATTAATGACCTAGTGGGAGGAATAATGTCCAGTAATGATAGACATTTACTTGAATAATGACTACTTGATAATGACCAAAAGTCCTACATAGGGAAATAAAAACATATGGTCATATATTGGGAAAGTCATTATGTTTTAGTCCTATTTATGTAAATTTCTCACTTTCAATACCTAAACTCAACAAACACCCTAGACCCGGTATAAAGTAGTTTGTCCGGTAGATAATTTGTCTCATTATTAATAGTAATAGTAATAGTAGTAGTAGTAGTAGTAATAATAATAGTTATAATAATAATAATAATAATAATAATAATATTCGGGCTCGGCCGGCTCGTAGGCGTGAACATAAATCCCGAACTTGACTCTCAAATATGCCGGACTCCGTTTATAAAGTCCGTCTCCCGCTACTTCAGAGATGACCTTTTGCACCCAGGCCTGGTACCTAGGCCCGTGATCGAATTTAGTTCCACCGTGATTTTGTTTTTTTAACTCCAAGTTGAAATTAAACTTTACAATAAATAATCTAAAAACATATAGAAACCGCATATCTTTGTGTACGTGCACATATTCATTTTGTCCAAATACCATTCATCACCCTCCACCCTTTATTGTCACTCCTTTAGATATTTTTCCCCAATTTAATGTCATCTCTTTTGTAGTTCATGAATCATTCAACTCTATATATATTAAAGATTTATTAATTAATTAATTTCAAAGCAATATTTTTAGTTTTCATTATGTTCCCAAACTACCCCTTATTACTCTTCTTCTTCTTCTTCTTCCAAACATCATTAATTTCTACGAACTCGCAGCTCCAGCTGCCGTGCACGCCGCCGTACCACAACGGCCACCGCTTCTGCAACACCTCGCTGCCCATCGCCGCGCGGGTCCGCGCCTTCGTGTCGCTCCTGACCGTCGACGAGAAGATCCCGCTGCTGTGCGACAACAGCTCCGCCGTGCCGCGGCTGGGGGTGCCGGCGTACCAGTGGTGGTCGGAGTCGCTCCACGGCATCGGGCTCAACGGGCCCGGCGCGAACCTCGACGGGGTCGTGAAACGCTCGACCATCTTCCCCAACGTCATCGGCACCGTCTCGTCGTTCAACCGCACGCTGTGGCGGTCCGTGGCGGCCGCCGTCGCTGTCCAGGCCAGGGCCCTGCATAATTTGGGCCAGGCCGGGTTGACTTTCTGGGCTCCCACCATAAACGTCTACAGGTGAAACCTTAACTTGTTGGACAGAGTAAATAAAAAGTACTACCCCGTCTCGCTATATTTGTCTACTTTTGACTTTTGGAACTTTTCATCTAAGCACTTTGACTCATCAAATTCTCTCAATGTGTAAGCCTAAATAGATCTTGTTTGATTTGTCTTAACATACAGATTATTAATATATAATTTCTATAATTTTTTAATATACAAATTACAAGATAAAATGGATTAAAGAAGTGCATTAGATGGTGTGTAAAAATGAAAGTGGACAAATATAATGGGACGGAGGAAGTAAAACATAAAATTGATACTATTCCCTATTTTTAAATTGACTTTTCTCTATTTTAAAGAAACTAAAAAAAAATAAATGAATGATTTTGATATTTAACATGTTAAAAAAAAGAGGGGAAGATCATTATTGAATGTCCAAAATTATCATTTGAAAAGATCATTTCCGAACACAAAAAAATAAAATAATATGGAGTACCAATTAAGTTAAATAAGATTTCTTATATTTTTATTTCTTAGATAGGAGGGTTGCCACTATGAAACATTGCAATTTGACATTTTAATGTTGGCGTTTCATAATACTCTATGTCTTTTAGCATTATGTTTTGGAATAACTTGGCATTGTAAATCTTATTCTGATATAAAATACAAAATTTCTATTTTAGAATACAATCTGGGCGGTACCGGTAGGGGAGAGGGGTGGGGGTGAACCGTCCGGTACTGTGACTCATCGATCTCATTCCGGAAATGCTTTTTTTGTGTGTTTTTTGAACATTGGAGTACTATTTTTGCACCAAAAAGTCAATATTTTACAAATAACAACTACATCTAGACAAACATTTTAGTCATCTGCCACTTTTGCACTAAAAACTCGACTTAACAAGTTATCAAAATTAAAAAAAATGGCCGAACCATGTTCGGAACCAGATCGGCCGGTTCGAGATCAAAACCAGTGCTGCCGGCCACAAGTACCGATGACAGTGCACGAACCGACCCTTGTCCAACTAACCCTATTATAAAGCATATTTTACTTGAAATTTTCAGATCAAAGTTCGTCGAGTTTATCTCCAATTAGAAATTTGGATTCCGATACGGTTTCCAAACTCCCGGTTCAAGTTCTACTACACTTCTTCTCACAAAAAAAATAAATTGTCTATCAAACAAAAAGTAAATCGATTGGTTGTTGTTGTTGTTGTTGTCATTGTCGTGAACAGGGACCCGAGATGGGGAAGAGGGCAAGAGACGCCGGGAGAGGATCCGTTTGTGGCTTCGGTTTATGGGGTGGAATATGTCAAGGGTTTACAAGGGAAGGATTTGATGAGGAACGATGATAATCATATAGAGGAGGAGGAAGAAGAAGAAGATGGGAATGAGAGGTTGATGTTGTCAGCATGTTGTAAGCATTTGGCTGCTTATGACATGGAGCATTGGCATGATGTTGATAGGTTTAACTTCAACGCTATCGTAAGTACTTTCGTCCATTTTTAATTCAATTCATTTTTTACTTAGCGACTAACATTAGTACGTAACTGCAGTTTTTTTAGAAGAGAATGAAATATTAGATTTTAATTTCACATAACGTTAAAGATCAGCGTTAGCGTTCTAAAAAGGCTATCTACGGGCAACATTAGTGTTATCATTTTTAAATTAATATGCACTGTTAAAATTTTATCCAAAATGCTAACGCTAATCTTTAATGTTATTCCCAAACAGGCCCTTAAAATTGCAAGCAAATATGAATTCGTCATAGTTCTTTTCGTGAGGGTTTTTGAGTCATTAAATTTTCTGGATCTGCCATTCCAGCGTTTTCCTCCATCATGTATCATATCTGCAGCAATATCATTTACGTGTAGATTACTGTTCACCATTTCATACCAAGTTTTCTCTATAGTAGATGCATCCTCTTTTTTTTCTTAGTGTAAAAATCTTGATTGTGTTAAATATATGTGTGTATTCGATAAGAAAGGTAACAAGGCAAGATATGGAGGAGACTTATCAACCGCCATTCAAAAGCTGCATAATGGAGGGCGGTGCAACCTGCATTATGTGTTCCTATAACGAAATTAACGGGGTGCCGGCTTGTGCAAACCGGGAGCTCTTGGACCGGGCCCGGTCCGATTGGGGCTTCAAAGGGTATGCGAGCTATATTCCCATGCATGAATAATTACAAATTAATTTTCAAAAGAAAAAAGCATATGCATTTTAATTTCAGTAATTATTCTTTGAATTATTCATGTACTCGGTATTAATTGTTCAGTTTTGACTTTTAGTAGTTAATAAAGATCGATATTTGATCTATGATTAGATGAAGGATATATAACACTTTGTATATTATTTAGATAAAAAATTATTCGAAAAATATTTTACAAGTTAGATCTAATACAATTATGGTAATGGATTGTAGATACGTAGCCTCAGACTGTGATGCTGTTAGCAATATCTTTAACTATTTGCATTACACGAGAACCCCCGAAGAAGCGTCTGCAATTGCTCTTAAATCAGGTCAGAATGTTTGTTCACTTTTATTTTTGTACTCCGTAATTTAATTAAATACTTTCTCTGTCCAAGAAGTATCTTCCTGTTTGCTTTTTGTTGGTCAAAATATTCTAACTTTGACCATATATATGGAAAAAAATATATTGAGTTATGATATGAATTTTATATCAATAGATTTATTTTGAAATAAAGTTTAAAAAATATCATAATTTTATAATATAGTAACATTATATATAAATAGAGATATTAATGATAAAAAATGTACATTGAAGATCTTGAAAAAAGCAAAGAAGAAGAAAATTATGGGACTTATTTTAATCATTTTTTAACAGATAAATTTAAATTCTAAATTCAATTTTAAAAGTATACTCCGTACATATTAAGACAAAAATGATATTATTACATTTATTTTGTTAAAAAATATTTAAAACATGATAGTAAAAAGGGTTTTTTTTTTAAATGGGCCGAAATAGGAACGGACGTCGGGTGCCGGTCGTTCCTAAGGGACCACATGAAGGCCGCATACGAGAAGGGCATAGTGGAGGAGAGCGACATAGACCGGGCTCTGGTGAACCTGTACACGGTCCAGTTCCGGCTCGGGCTGTTCGACGGGGCGGCCGGGAACCGGCGGTTCGCGAACTTAGGACCACAGGACGTGTGTAGTCCGGAGCACAGCGAATTGGCCCTCGAGGCGGCGAGGCAGGGCATTGTGCTTCTGAAGAACGAGAATGGGTTTTTACCGTGGGATAAATCCCGCGTTTCTTCACTGGCTGTGATTGGCCCTACCGCCAACACAACTTACCTTGGTGGTGATTATTCAGGTTAGAAATTACCATTCATTTACTACTCTCTCTCCAAAAATTTCTTTCCCGATTTGACTTAGCACAGAGATTAAGAAAAGTTAAAAATGGTAAAGACTTTTCATGTGTTGTCCTTGATGTGATAGGATAAAGTGACTAGTGTAAAAAAAATAGGGGTATAGCACATTCATTGAAAAAATTATAAAAATAAGAAACGAGAAAGAAATTTTTGGACAGCCCAAAAAAGAAAGCGAGAAAGGAATTAATGGACGGATGGAAAAATTACTATACTTCATCTATCTGTTATAATTTGACCCGAGATTTGATTCGAAAATATGAATGGTAAATTCTAAAGCGCATTTTCATCCTCCCAAAATAAAAGTTACAATTAGTTTATACTTTTTCCATTCCCTAAATAATTTTTTCTATGTGATTAATGATGTTTTAAAAAATTTGATTTAAATTTAGAAACTATAAATCTCTATTAAAAAAGAGGTAACATTACTGTATTATTTTATCAAATGATTTTCTTTCGAGCGAACACAAATAAGCAAAGAAATTCGAGAAAATTTGATCATTCCGTCCCAAAAAGAACGTCACACTACGAAAATGAAGCATAATTTCAAGTTTTTTCAAGTTATTTTATTTAAAGGTAGGTATAAAAATAAAATATAAAATTTACGGAGTATATACTTAAAAACCACATCAAAAGTTCTACCAAACAAGAGTGATAATTACATTTTATTTTATCAAATAAGGAATACAAACACACACATAAGCAAAAGTTTTGGAGATTTTTGAATAGTGGAGTGTGACATTCTTTTTAAGACGAAAAAAATACTAAATAAAACATCGATAGTTTGATCAAATAATATATTCATGTAACATTCTCTTATTAAATTCCTTTATACTGTAAAATTTTAAAATACACTCTTGGTTTCTAAGGCTTTGTTTGGTTGAGACGAAGAAAACGGAGTGAAGAAATTGAGACAAGTTTTTTTTGATACTCTGTGAGCAGGAAATCCATGCTTGAAGAGAAACCTGTACGGCGGGTTCCCGGAGTACGTAAAGAACGTGTCGTACGCATCCGGTTGCAGAAACGTGGCGTGCAACGCCACCTACGGATTCCCGGAGGCGGTGGCGGCCGCCAGGGCCGCCGACTACGTGGTGGCGGTGCTGGGGCTGGACCTGACACAGGAATCGGAGTATCTTGACCGGAGCACTCTTCTACTGCCCGGAAACCAAATGGCACTCGTGAAGCAGCTCGCCGCCGTGTGTAGAAACCCGCTGGTTTTGGTGCTTACGGGTGGGGGTCCTCTGGACGTGTCCTTCGCTAGGGATGACCCTAGAGTTGGGAGTATCCTTTGGATTGGGTACCCTGGTGAGGAGGGCCGTAGGGCATTGACTCAGGTCATTTTTGGAGAATACAATCCAGGTCTTTATTTTCATATTATTACTTCTTCACTCCCATCTTTCCACTCTTGTCCATGTAGAGTCATTCTTTTAGACTTCTATGATATATGAGTAAAAGGATGAACCTAATCTCCGTGAGTCTCCTCAGAATCGGTTGGACGGTTTCTGAAAAAAAGATAAATTGAGCTTTGATCACCGGTTGTTGCCAAAAAACGAAACCAGCACCCGGTATTTGCAGAAGCTCTATGGTTAGCATGGTTCCCGCAGTTGCCAGGAACCAATCTGGTGTATTAACCACTGGGCACCCTTTGTCTTGTGAATTGCATAATGCCCACCAACCTTAGACTTACATGAGTAAAACTATATGACGTCACAAGTTCAAGTCTCACGACCACTTCATTCCTTACCAATATGTTGGATATTATTACAACATTATCCTATTATAACCATGCAGGTGGAAAACTATCAGTAACATGGTACCCAGAGTCATTCATCGACGTCCCAATGATCGACATGAACATGAGGGCCGATCCGTCTCGCGACTATCCCGGAAGAACCTACCGCTTCTACACCGGAGAAAGGGTATACGAATTCGGGCACGGACTAAGCTACACCAACTTCTCCCAACACCTCTTGTCAGCTCCATCCAGAATCAGCGTATCCGAGTCCCCGAAGAAAAACACAATCGCAACAAATAACAACAAATCCAGTAAAATCTCAGGTTCTAGGCAGGAGCACCAGAACCCAGCTCCTAGAAGTAGAAAACTCAGTAGCAGATGGGGCAACAACATCCAGAGATTTGTCCTCGTAGACGAAGTGTTGCACTGCGAGTCCCTGGCTTTCACGGTGACGGTTTCCGTGAGGAACGAGGGGTACAGGGACGGGAGCGATGTCGTGATGTTGTTTTCAAGGGCCCCACGGTGCTACGAGCGGGCTCCGCTTAAGCAGTTGATCGGGTTCGAAAAGGTTCACGTCCCCGCCATGGGGTCGGTGGAGGTGGGCGTGTCGGTGAATCCGTGTGAGCGTCTTAGTATTGTGAATGAGGAGGGGAGTAGGATTTTGCCCTTAGGGGATCATACTTTGATTCTAGGGGAGAAAGAGTATGTCATTTCGGTTGAAATTTGACATTGAGTCACAAATTTTGGTATTTTGTTTTGCGTTTATATTGATCATCATATTCAATGTATGCCACGCCATTTATTAAAAAAAACACTAGAATATTTTGTGTTGGGAATTTGATTAAATATTCAAAAGAAAGAAAAATAAGAAAAAGAAATAAAAAAAGAAAAAGAAAAGTGACATGCATTTGGACGTACAACATGCATGTGAAGAGTTGTTTTTGGTTTTGTTTCTATCTCTTTGGATTGGTGCAAATCAACTAATGTACTGCACCTTCTAGGCAATTACATATGCATTTACGGGTGAGTCTAACTTTTGAAAGGCTTTGGGTTGCTTTAAAAAGAGTGAGACTAAGGTAGACATGTGTGTGTGAGTTTTACACACCACCAAGGTAGAGAGAGAAAATGGGAGCATTTTACACAAGAATACCACCGGAAAAATCCAAGAGGTCTTGGTGAGTGTGGGTGGGTGTCGTAGGGAGTAACTGGTTTTAGTTACTCGAAAAAATACATCCGGGCATAGAATGTGGAAAGATCTGTTTATGAGTGTCTGAAATTTAGTCTTGTAAACATGGGAGAGTTTTTGTATATTGTCCTGAAATAGTGGAAATATAATTTTTTCTCTCATATTTTTTGTGTGTTTGTTCGCTCATTTTCCTGGCGTTCTCAATATTTTTCGGTATCTTACACGCTTAAAATCCCAACAATTGGTATCAGAGCTTGGTTGCGCTGGGCAGGAGGGATTTGTAAGCGGTAGGCGACCATGGGACTTCAAGAACAAAGTGGATGGCATGAGGACCGGGTACGAAGCGGCATGCTGGCTTTGTGAAGTATGGTGCAGGAAAATGATATGAGGAGACCCGTGACCTAGCGGAGTGGAAAACAGCGGTTTATGACTTGTGTCGAAAGTCTTCCCGGCAAGAAGAGGTCGGGCGGCGTGTCCTGCAGGTCTTGCTGCAGCGGTGCAAGATGGGCAGATCAAAAGAAGTTAATTGCTAGAGGGGTGGTCTCAGAGAGTTTTAACAAAGGTGAGTTGTTTTTTTAGCTCGGGGTGGAGGGTTAAAACTCTATGGAGCTAAGGTAGTGACAAAGATCTTGACGGGGTCGGTTGTGGTGGAGTCACGGTTTCAACGGCAACTGGAAGTGGCGGGGGCTCTTGTGGTATTGAGCAAGGTGGAGCCACGAGATATTTCTTTTCTTCTTTGAGATTGGCAGCGGTGATCTCAGTGGAGCAGACTGAGATGGAGCCAAGGATATTTTTTTATTTCGGAGTAGCGGTGATCTTACTGGAAAAGTGAGGTGGAGCTACAAAGTTTTTTTTTGATTATTTAATCAAGGTGGAGTTTGTTGGGAATTTGATTAAATATTCAAAAGAAAGAAAAATAAGAAAAAGAAATAAAAAAAGAAAAAGAAAAGTGACATGCACTTGGACGTACAACATGCATGTGAAGAGTTGTTTTTGGTTTTGTTTCTATCTCTTTGGATTGGTGCAAATCAACCAAGAGAAATTTACCTAAATAGGACTAAAACATAATGACTTTTCCAATATAGGACCATTTATTTTTATTTCCCAATGTAAGACTTTTGGTCATTAACAAGTAGTCATTATTCAAGTAAATGTCTAGCATTACTGGACATTATTCCTCCCACGAAGTCATTATTTAGTCCTATTTAGGGAATAAAAAAATGTAAGTCTTACATTAGAAAAGTCATTATGTTTTAGTCCTATTTAGTGCAAATTTCACATCAACTAATGGATTGCACCTTCTAGGCAATTACATATGCATTTACGGGTGAGTCTAACTTTTGAAAGGCTTTGGGTTGCTTTAAAAAGAGTGAGACTAAGGTAGACATGTGTGTGTGAGTTTTACACACCACCAAGGTAGAGAGAGAAAATGGGAGCATTTTACACAAGAATACCACCGGAAAAATCCAAGAGGTCTTGGTGAGTGTGGGTGAGTGTCGTAGGGAGTAACTGGTTTTAGTTACTCGGAAAAATACATCCGGGCATAGGATGTGGAAAGATCTGTTTATGAGTGTCTGAAATTTAGTCTTGTAAACATGGGAGAGTTTTTGTATATTGTCCTGAAATAGTGGAAATATAATTTTTTCTCTCATATTTTTTGTGTGTTTGTTCGCTCATTTTCCTGGCGTTCTCAATATTTTTCGGTATCTTACACGCTTAAAATCCCAATAATTTGATAGTTTGGGCTTTGGTGTACATGCTAGTTTTATACAAAAGAAATACGGAGTATCTCATACCTTAAGTATGTTTATTTTTATCAACATAAAGAAAATAATTAGTCATATATCATCTCCGTCACAAGGTACGTCTTAGACCAGTTTGAGCCAAATTTTATAAATTTTGATCATTAATTATATAAAAGTTACTCCATGAAAAAATAATGCAATCAAATTTATTTTGTAATATATTTCTTAAAAGTTTATTGTATTTTATAAATAAATAACATAATACAAAATAATTATTTAGATGGTGATCAAAATTTGTTTTGTTCAAGTGTAGTTAAAAAGATAAACTACACAAATCAAGTGCAGCGATTTAACTCTGTGACCAGAGTTTTTATTTACAAATAGAAAAACATGATCAAATGATTATATTCAAATATGAAAATAAAAATTTAAAAAAAATAAACTTACAATATCTAAAAGTAATTATAGATTTAAACAGGGCCGATCTCGAAAAATTATAAAATAAAATTGGTCTGGTTCAAAATTTACATTTTGGATCCTATGTTACTTGTTAGAATACTTATGCTTTAAAATTAAAGTCAATTTAAAAATATGGAACCCTAAAATTTTATGGATTCTATGTGATTGACTACTTTGAATACCCTCCGCAGCACCCATCAATTTAAAAGGAAACTCACACACGACAAAGACAACCGTTATTTATGACTTTTATGGGGTAAATTTCAGTAATGGTACCTGAATTTACACTGGAATTTCGAAGTGGTACCTAAACTTCAAATCTTTTCACAAAAATACCTGAACTTACACAATCCTTTCACTAATGAGTCATTAGCCCGTTTCTAGATTAACTTCCGGTTATTAGGGCCAAATTCGAATTTTATATAGTTTAAAATTTTCAATTTGACCCCATTTCTTCTTTTCTTTTCTTCCACGCCCTGCCGCCGCCGCCTGCCGGTCAAAGTCACCGGAAAATGAACTTTTTCCGATTCCGGCGGGACCAATGTCATTCTCTTCGTCTTGAGACGAGGATCAATAATATCCAAACCATTTTGTCTAATTTGGCATGTAACTTCTCAAATCTGAATTTTTCTACTCGAAAAAACCCTAAAATCGAAATTGGGTCCAAAATTGGGGGTTTTGCAAATCGTCATCAAATCTTGCAATTGAGGGGTCCTTGGAGGTCGCCCGGATGCCACGACCGCATTGGAGCGTTTTCCGGCCAACTCCGGCGAAATTGACGGCGGGCATCCACTCCAATGCGGTCGTGGCATCCGGGCGACCTCTAAGGACCCCTCAATTGCAAGATTTAATGACGATTTGCAAAACCCCCAATTTTGGACCGAATTTCGATTTTAGGGTTTTTTCGAGTAGAAAAATTCAGATTCGAGAAGTTACAGGCCAAATTAGACAAAATGGTTTGGATATTTTTGATCTTTGTCTCAAGACGAAGAGAATGACATTGGTCCCACCGGAATCGGAAAAAGTTCATTTTCCGGCGACTTTGACCGGCGGGCGGCGGCGGCGGAGCGTGGAAGAAAAGAAAAGAAGAAATGGGGCCAAATTGAAAATTTTAAAATATATAAAATTCGAATTTGGCTCTAATGACCGGAAGTTAACCTAGAAACGGGCTAATGGCTCATTAGTGAAAAGATTATGTAAGTTCAGGGATTTTTGTGAAAGGATTTGAAATTCAGGTACCACTTCGAAATTCCAGCTAAAGTTCAGGTACCATTGGTGAAATTTACCCGACTTTTATGATATGAGGACTTGAGGAGTGTCAATGAAGCGCCCCTCTTGATTTAATCTTGAAAATTTAACTTTGCAAAATTAAGTTTAATTAATCTTTACTTATAAGAAAAAGAAAGAATATAAATATTATTTTGGAGCAAGGAATTTATTCAGTATTTTGTTTTGCATTTTGATAAAATATTTAAAAACATTTAACTTTAACATTTATAATATAAATCTGCATAATTAAAAAGCTATGCAAAAAACAAACACCAATCGAAAAATACCCCCTTTGCCTTAAAAAACCTTCCTGTTTTGATTTTTCTATTGTCGAATATTTACACTCTTTGATTATAAAGAAACATAAATTAAATAAATACATATTATAAAAAATCAATATATTAAAATTTTTAAGATGAATAGAATTATGTTGAATTTACACTATAATGAAATACACCTTTTTTTTTACAATTTGAACTAAAACATTGTCAATGTTTCATTAAAAAACTAGAAACATCAAAACTTTTTTCACACCGAGCCATTTCTTCTGTCCCAATTTAAGTTGTTTTTTTATTTAAATCGTTAAGTTTTATTAGTGAAATTTATTCTAAGTAGTCCTCCGTACTAAAATATATGTCATTTTTCAATGTAGTATTTAAACTTTTTTATTCTCTAAATAGTATTTGAATAATGTTGAGTGCTGGAAATAATGTCCAGTGATGATGAATATTTATTTTGAATAATATTTAGTGGCGCTAAACATTTACTTGAATAATGACCAATGATAATATATTAGAAAATAAAAATACCCACTTGACGAAAATGGACTAAATAAGGACTCATTTTTTAAGTTAGCCGTACTAAATAAATAATTAAGGGAAGAGTATACGATAATTAAAAAAAAACCCCACCTCTCCCATCCGCCATTGTTTCAAGCAACAACAAAAAAAATGCATCGTGCTCGCCAGCCGTACACGAAATCGTCTCCGGCCGAATGATATCGAATCATACGTTCTTCTTCCAGCTTTCTCGATCTTCCATTTCCTCGCAGTTATTTTTCACCCAATTGATGCTCGGGGAATATATTCGTCCCCTGTTTCTGTAAAAAGGTTGCGGTCTCGGCCGTGATTCGGCTCCCCGTGGCGTGAACCGCCGGGGATTTGTTCGGCGATGATGACGTTTGCTTCCGGCGAGGAGGCCGTCTCTGCGAAGCAGCCTGCGGGGGATCGCAATGGGGCGTATTATGTGAAATTGAGGAACGATGAATTGGAGGAGAGCTGCGGGGACTGCATCGTCCGGGATTCTCCGGCGTCTTCCGAGGCGGTGGTGGTGGTGGAGGCGGCGGGGGCATGTGAGGTCGGTGGGCGGTGGTGGTGGTCCTTGTGGTGGTGGGCCAAACTGCTCCTCTTGCTTGTCTTTGTTGGGGTTCTGGCCGCCGTTTTTCTCATATGGGTCGGGCCCTTCTTCATGGATAAGGTCAGCTTTCCATTTTTGTTGCAGTCTATTAAAATTGAGATCCACAGCAAAATATTCCAACCGTTGTGTCAATGTTGCTGAAATTGTAGGAATCAAATTGACATTAATGTTGTATTTCATTAAAGATGTGTTTTTTTTAGAAGTGGAATTAGAACTATTTTGTGTATTATGTGAATCAAGCTTTCTTCATAAAGACTTTCATTGCTGTTTAACCATGTGTCTTGAAGGTAAGTAGTGTATGATAAATGTTGCTAGGAGAAAAGCAATATTGCAATGTGCACTCTCGAGTCTCTCAAGGTGAGACTTGAGAGTGCAAATTATACCCCAATGATATAGAACCATGTATACCGTTGTAAAGAGGGGAAATGAATCAAATGAGAAAAGAAAAATCACTTCGCATGTGTAACATAATATTATTGGGGTGAAATTTGCACTCTCAGTGGAATGCAATTTGAACTACCTTCTGCATATTTCACTTGAATTCTTTAATTTCAATGCTTAGGCATCAGGTTCAAACTCATTTTTGCATATCTCACTTGAACTCGTACACTTCTTTCTTTAGAAATCAGATATATTTTGCTTGATAATTTGAAAAACATGTGTTAGATTATTAGTACATTTCTATGATTCTATCTTGAGTTCTTGTTAATCAAATCGTGGTTTCAAAAGTAGTCGTGGGTTTCCTTTATGCTCCTTTCTAATCAAACTCTTGTGATTTTAGGAAATCATCCCCATAATTAATTGGGAGATGAAAACTTTCAGTACACCAGTTCTAGCAGTTTTAGTTTTTTCTTCGGTATCACTTTTTCCTGCTTTGCTTTTGCCTTCTACACCCTCCATGTGGGCGGCAGGAATGACTTTTGGATATGGGTATGGATTTCTACTAATAATTGGAGGTGCAGCTATTGGGGTATCACTTCCATATTTCGTAGGATACCTTTTCCGCCGCAGAATCCAAGTAACATCTATATCCTGTATGCGGTGGATTGATTCATTTAACTGTTTGCAGGTGTGGCTGTGTGTTTATTATTATTTTTTCCTTTTTTCCCAGGGATTTCTAGAAAGGTACCCAAAACATGCTTCAATGATTAAACTAGCGGGGGAAGGGGACTGTTTTAATCAATTTCGAGCTGTGGCATTGATCAGAATATCTCCTTTTCCATACATCGTATATAATTACTGTGCAACGGCTACGGGAGTGAAGTATGTTCCCTATTTGCTGGGTTCTCTGATTGGCATGTTGCCAGAGATATTTGTTGCTATTTATACGTGAGCTCTCTCTCTCTCTCTCTCACTCTCTTGCATGTGCTATACAAATTTCTCATGCCAGTTATTTACATACATGCAAAGAAGCGTATGTGCAAATAACCAGGGACATTTGGTTTAGGTAATCTCACATTGTCTTAATAATGTGAGAAAGGGTATTTGTGATTACCTTGTTTGGTTCATGTTTTTAGATTCCACCGGGTTAACAGTAAGATGAGATTACCTCCTCTTTGGAAATGGAGCAATGTGGGGAGTAATGTGATTATATTGGGGTTTATTGGGTGTTGTAAATTATTGAAATTGTATCTTATACTCCGTACTATTCTTAATTTGTCCCCTAATCATTTAATGAAATATGTAATATGACATCCTGTGAAGTGGGAACCAAACACTCCCTAAGTAAAACCGCGTTCCTGCTTTATCTCTAATAATTTAACATATGTGATATCACATATGCACATTTCCTGAGGTAATCTCACATTATCTTCCAAACGGTAATCTTATTGCTTAAGGTCATTTTACATTCCATGAACCGAACCCCCAAGTCATGTATGACAATCTAGATATTCTCTTTTGACATTTGCTGCAGTTATTGGGGTTATTAAATTTCACATTGGCATATCCCAATCAATACATGGTAAAGTACTATCATGTATCCTATAAAGGTAGACCAAATTACATTGCCAACCATTTTTTGCTTCACCTTAACTTTTACTCTATTGTTTGATATGGAGTACTTTGGTTGGAGATTGAACATACCTGCCAAATTCTCTGTGCAAATAGCTGTTGAACATACATGATGACTGGTGAGTAGTATCATGCAGTGATCAAACTATTATGAGAGCTCAATAACATAGCAAAATGTTTGATTTTGTGCCTTCGGCTTGATAGATTCTGGAAATATTACAATATCATGACTAGGTAATACCATTGCTAGGGTGTCATAATTGTTGAAGATTATGAAATTTGTTAATCTTGTTGATACAGGGAAGTTGGATGTTGAAACAAGTGTTTGTTTCCACATTTCTTTGTTGTTGTTTATATTATAATGGAGTGATTAAAGTAATTGGGTAGTCCTGGGAGCTTTAGGTCATATTTCTGGCTGGCATGTCTTTATGCCTGTGGTCATAGGCTCTTTGCTTTTTACCCATACTTATGTGCTTCGTTTGTGCTAATGTGATCTGCTTGCCTGATCTTTCTGTTGATTCTGCTTGCATGTTCTTTTGTATTTGAGCTGGCGGTCTCTTGGAAACAACCTCTCTACGTTCTAGTAGAGGATGACAAGTTTTAGGGTACCCGTCTGATGCCAAGTTGTAGGGTACCGGTCCACTCCATGGCTTGGGGTAGTCCTTTAAGGGGTTGGGACTTTGCACCCTTCTTGTCTAGCCGTTGTATCCCATATCCTTTATTTACCTAGTTTGCGTCCGGTATATAATTATGAGGTGAACTCTACCTATAGAAGATCTTTTTAGGTTGTGTTAGATCCAAAATTGAATTTATACGATTTGCATCCATGAAACTCATAATAAGACCATCCTTTTTTTTTCCTGTTTCCCAGTGGCATTCTGATAAAGACATTGGCGAATGCTTCGCATGACCAACGTTCCCTGTCAGCTCCGCAGATCATTTTCAATGTTTTTGGGTTCTGTCTCACGGTGGCCACCACTGTACTCATCACAGTCTATGCAAAACGGCGGCTCAAGCAGCTGCAGGACGACGAGGAACTACTGCTGTAATAAATGCACTCCTGCTGCTAATACATCTATACATACACATATTACAAGTAAAGATGGGATTGTAGTCCGAGTGGAGCCCGCTATCAACAAGCCACACTAACGTCGGTAACATCACGTTTCTTTGTTTCTCCCCTGCTTGTATAGAGGAAAAATGCTACTTTAACCCCAGTGATGACACCAAAGTTGACGCCCATTAGAGACGATCACAAACAGACAGTATAGTATTTGTTTGTGAGACACTATGGCAGTGTCATCTGTGGTGTGTGATTTGAGCATGACACTTGTACAAAAACATGTTAGAATTTGTTCTCTAAGATAAATAGTTCTTCCTCGCTTTCGTGCGATCTCGTTCGGTATCTGATTTCACTCATTTATTAATTTTTTTATAAAACATATATGCTTATATATGTACTCTAATAACACTTTAAATTCATGAAAGGATGAAAATGAAATTACTGAACACATTTATTTTTTGAATGTGCACAATTGTACATCATAAAATTATTTAAAAAAAAAAAGAAATATTAGTGTTACACATGACACATCTACTAGCTATGAGATGGATGTCCAATACTCCGTATAATATGTCAATTTGAAGTGGTTTTACGGTTTTACCTTCTCTCCATTTGAAATTTTGAAATGCATATTGATGGGTAGTTTGGTAAACTACCAGTACTGTAAAAAAAATACAAGTACACATAAATAAATTATTTTTACTTTTTTTGAAGTTAAAAAAAAATCTGCAACCGTGTAAATTAGGCCTTGTGGGCACAAATAGGTCCTAGAGTAATAAATTGCTAAGAGCCAAAACCTTTCCTATAAAAAGAGGTCATCTTTGAAACTTTCCTTTTAAAACAAAACACAAAAATGATGGGTGAATGATATTTGGAGTTTTTAGTTTTTACCTGCTGGGTAATAAAACAGAATTCTGGGTATTTGCACAGAAAGTCAATTAGGCATGGAAAATAGGTTATTGCTAAACCTAGGTCTGTCAATGGGTCAAGTTTGGACCCGAACCCGAAATAATCTAACGGGTATGGAGCATTTTTCTAAATCCAGACTCGGATAGAGTTATATACTCCCTCCGTCCCAATTTAAATCGCCTGTTTTGACTTTTGGACATATTTAAAGAAAATTAAAAATAGAGTTGATTTTCCGAAATTGACATTACTTTTTAGGAGGGGTGATGATGGATGAGAAGATAAGGTGAAAAAATGTGACTTATTTTAGGGGTAGTTTAGGTATTTTATTTTTAAAAGTTTACGAAAACAACTAACAGACAACTTATTTTGGAACGGAGAAAAAAGGTAAACAGGCAATTTAAAATGGGACGGAAGGAGTAACTGATTAAGCAGGTTTTTCTATACTTATAAGATGGTCAAAATTACTTATAAGTTGTTTTTAAATTATAAATCATCTGCGGACGTGTTTCTCTGTGTTTATAAACTGACTTATAAGCTGCTTATAAGTCAAAAAATATGTATGTCTTGCTTTTTTTAGTCAATTTTTTGTTTCTCCATTTTGATCAGATTATTTAGAAAAGTATCTCTCAACTTTTATAAATATTCTCAAATGAATCATCTCTCATTTAAGTCTTTTAACTTTTTCACAAAAGAATATTTAATTTATAAATAGCTTATAAGTTAAATACTGTTTATCAAACACACCCTATTTATGACCTATGAGTAAACGGGTTGCCGAGTAGATACTCTATATAACAATTAGCATTTATTTTAAGCTTTGTTTTATCATTTTAAAAATGTTATCCAAATTCGTACATAGCAATAGTTTTCAGCATAGTAATTTGAAAATTAATCTAACTATTAAAAATTATTGGAAATGCTAGCCCTCGTCACAAACATTGTTACAAAATGGCCTAAATAATCTAATTTATAAACTTAAGTAGGAGTAAGATATGCTTCTTTTGTCCCAAAACTAACAAAAAGTCAAATACAATTTATTTTATGATGATTGAGAAGATTTGTTTTTCATTCAATTTAATTTGAAATTAATTTAGAAATAAAAATACAAAACAAGGTTTAAATAGTTAAAAATTAAATAAAAATTCTGCAAAAAGAAAGAAACGTGTCTATATTATTTGGTCAAATAAAACAGCATACACATGAAAATATGTGATGAAGATAGAAACATAAATTGATTATGTGAATAATAATGGTACCTTTTATCTTAAGACGAAATGAATAATCGGCTACTTGTAATGTGCTTTGTATATATCATCGAATTTTAATATTTTCTTTGACACACAGTAAATTTTTCTTGATCACAATTTGTTTTTCTTAACCTTGTGTAAAAGAAAAATTGAAAAGTTAAATTTAAGAGTGGGAGGACATTTTAAATTTAAAAAAATGTAAAAAATTCCTTATACTCCGTAATTTTTGGAGTTTTAAGAAGTGGATGTTTATTTCAAAAAGAAAAAAAAGGGGGGAATTGAAGTATAAATGGGATTTCATGTGAGAAACTGACAACATATATATAATATGGCATTGCAGAGTGCAGTCAGTTAATGTGGTCAGAAAAAAATGGAGAAAATTTACAGTGCAGTAAACAAAGCTGTGGGAATGTACCCCAAGTCCCTAACCAAAAGAAAATTTAAATAAAGGGGTAGTTCTGTACTTCTGTACAATTGGGAACAGACCTTTGATTATTTTAAAAATAGGTAAGGTTATGTATTGGGTTATATGGTGTGGATCACTCCATCACGTCTATCCTTTCGTGTCAATTTAATATCTGTGGGCGTTGCACAGCTGGCAAGGCTGGTGTCTATTTGGAATTTTTGTTAAGGTGTGTTTAGAGGTGGGCACGATCCGTGACGATTCGGTATTTTAAAGAACATGTATCATACTATTACTATTCAAATGTTTTAGTGCGATATTGTTTTACGCCTAAGCTCATTTGCTACAATGTCGTTCGGAAACCGGATGGTACAATATCATAGTAATGTCAAATCATATAACAATACTTCGACGCTTTGAAATTATTTTTATGTATAAAAACAATCGATGTAATTCAAAAAAAATTGGTGCACCAGTATTATACCCTGAAGTAATAAAGTATTATAAAAATATAAGTTTAAGTATGTTAAAATCACACCAAATAAATATAACTTAAAGTTACTAAAAAATAACAAATGAAAACGACGTATACTCACTTATTAATATGACCTTTACGTGCCAACGGTTTGATATTTTTCAGTTTTTATTTTTAAGATGGGAAAAATACTAAAATAAGAGTTAAACATAGAAAAATATCAAAATAAGAGTTTCATGTTTTTATCCCCAAAATAAAGTTATAGTGCTAATAATGTCAACATATAATAACAAAAAATATTGTAAAATGACTATACAGTTTCACAATATCACAATACAAATTTCTATTTCGAAAATAAAAATATACAACTCCTACTTTGAGGACAAGAGTTATATTTTACTCATATTTGAGGTGAATGAGTGATTTCTTTTTTAGAAACCCGATTGGTACCATTTTGAAAACAATTCAATTTGATTCTTGATATGATTTACTAAAATCATTTGAAGATCTACTTTTTGGTTCGGTACAATGTCGGTCCAGTTTGGAATAATATCAGATTGGTATTTTTGTGTAGTCATAGGTGTGTCATTTTATTTAAAAGTTTTGATGTAAATTAAGAAAATGACAATAGTTCTTAAAAATTTATGTAGTGGCAGAGAATTAGTGTGACCACTTATTCTATTTCATAAAAAGAATGAGAACCTAATTTTTAAGTAATCAAAAAATAAAATGAGAAATTTTTTTTAGAAGAGAAGCCCTAAAATAAAGTCAACTAATTTTTGAAAGTGCATTTTTAAGGGTGGGGGTGGATTTGGGTCAGATTGAGTGACCGAAGGGGTAGGGGTTAGATGGGGTAAGAAATACTGTTTGACTTCAAAGTCAACTAATTTTTGGGAGTGTTATTGTCTATTGACGGGGCTGGGGTGAGTTGGGTTGGACCGAGTGTGAGTGTTCACCAGAGACTTAAGTTAAATATGAATTCATTTTTCAAACAAGTCATTGTAGGATTCCTAATTTGAGCGAGTGTTATCATATGACATTCAAAATACTCAAAATGGGTGTCACTGTAACCTTGTTCTAAAAGAATTAGCCTTGTTAAAATATGTGAAAACTCTCGAGGTAGAGCAGAAAAAATTATAAAAACCCCAAAATAGAATCTATAATTCTTTTAAAACCAAAATAGGAATTACAATGCTATTGTTACACTGCAATATTCATCATATTGTCACACTTCAATTGCCGCACTATCACTGCACACTCGTTGTTATGGATCTTATTTTAATAGTTTCATTTTTTTATGATCTTTTATGGAGGAGATTTTCTTTCTTATGAAACATATATTGCCAAGGGCAATGGCGTAAATTAATTGGGGAGTTTGAAAGCCCGATCCCCGACGCAGTACTTCAAACTCCAATGAGAATGGCTACAGTACTCAACAAAGACAAACAAATAATCCCCTCCCACAAAATGACACTTTCATCCCCATTTTTTCATGCGGAATTAAATTTTAAAAATGTGAATTTGAATTTCCAAAAAAAAAGAAAGAAAGAAAGAAAGAAAGTTGAATGTGCTACTCCCTCCAATATTTTTCGTTTATCTATATTGCTTTGCAAATCAAAGATTTAACTAACTATATATAAAAATATACAATGAGTTAAAATATAAAAATTATATCAAATTATCAATATTGAAAATACATCTAAAGTATCATTTTAATAATTTTTTTCTTAATAATGAAATGAGATATTGATGGTCAAACATTATGTTCGAAAAAGAAACTAGAGAAAAAGGATTGAAGGGAGTTTTCATCAAGCCGACACCAGAAGAAATGGTCGGACTTAAAGTCGATGTAAAATTATACTTTTAACCATCAATTTAATACGAACAGTCGAACACAACAATTGGTCAAACAAAGAAATATCTATAAAATGGTACCCATAAACAACAAAACACGAACGTATTATATGATATAATAGAGAATTCAATACGGAAAAACTCTAGTTTTGAAGGATCATTTAAAAAATATTATTGCAAAAATATGTATCTGTCAATTTATTAATTACTCCATCCGTCCCGTTTTAAATCGCCTGTTTTGACTTTTGGGCATATTTAAGGAAAAGAAAAAATAGAATTGGTTTTTTGAAATTGCCATTACTTTTTAGAAGGGGTAACTTTGAATTAGAAGATAAGGTGAAGAAGGATGACTTATTTTAGGGGTAGTTTAGGTATTTTATTTTTAACAGTTTACGATAACAACTAACAGGCAACTTATTTTGAGACGGAGAAAAAATGCAAACATGCAATTTAAATTGGGATAGAGGGAGTATGTTATCTAATAAAGTATTTAAATGTTTTAATCCAAAAACAAGTACGCAGCCTCTACTTTCTTGCTTCTGTTTATTGTTACTCTGTATTTCTTTAAGTGTCTAAAACCCTCTCCATATCAACTCTTAACTATATTTAATTTGGACTAGTGCTTGTATAATGACTAAAACCTATATTTAGTGACATAACCTTTGAAATTATTTTGCCAAACAAATTGAGTTGATAGGTCTAAGTCCAATATTAATAAGGTTAAACCTGTCAACATTTTTACCAAAATTCAATGATAAACATATAAGATCAGAAATTTTTCCGAGTGAGGTTGTTCGTACTATATTGAGGATGTTCATGTTTTTCGGTTGGACTACAATTACTCGGGTCTAAAGCACCTACAGAACAATATATAAGATACTAAGGTCTTGTTTGGGAACAACATCATCGATGAGCGTTGGCGTTTTTTATAAAATTTTAATAGTTTAGATTAATTTTGAAAATGTTAACGCTATTCTATAGTGCTATAGTCATATAGTATTTTCAAAACACTAACGCTAATGTCTAATGCTGATACCAAACAGGGCCTAAAGAACACGTGAGTGGGCCCTGAGCATCGCCTGGCAATGCCAAAAACAAGAGAGTAGTCATAGGAATCACGGTGATTATCATAGCCACTTGGTCGATGATACTAAGCCTATCAATGTGTGGCCATATCGTTATCCCTATTTTCAAAAATAGAGATTGAGCGCCAGTTTCAAGAGATGTTGCAACAATGAATTATCAAGCCGAGTCATAACCCTTTATCGTCCCAGTCTTGTTGGTTTGAAAAAAATAGGACATATTGATTTTGAATCTATTACAAGACACTAAATGTAGCTACAGTTCTAAACCACTTCCCGATACGCTAGAAGACAAACTCTTTGATTCGATATTTTTCTTGAACCGACAGGTTAGATAATTAGTCCTATATAGGATTGTCTATTTATATAAGGTCGTTTTATGTATAACAAAGTAAGACATAAATAAAGGTTTTCTTCCTTCCACTAAATTCTTTCTCTCCAAACCCCAAACCCTCGTTCTCTTCGTCCTCTATTGTGAGTTGCACAAGGTGCGCACTACAGAGACTAGCTACACTGAAGTGTTATCTTTGTGCCTTCTCGCTCCAGGGTTCAAGCATATCATCCACAAGTCTTATCTTTTCAATTCTTCCATTACGGTCTGGTTGGTCTCACTCTTTTTATTCTTCTATCAACGCCTCCCAACATCATCCTCCTCTTCACATCTCCCAACTAACAACCCTAACCACAACCACACTCCTTTGATTTTTCCAATTCTACCTCCCAACATCTTGTTGTTCTTGGATTCTTTCAACCAACATCTTCATCATATTTAACGCTCCTTCAACTCTTACTCTTTTTTAAGATGTCTTCTTCCCCAAACCTTAAGTAAAAGCGATGTATCGCATCTTCGTTAGAACAACATTGCCAGGTTGTCAAATCTCCAACAAATCGCATCAGACAGTGTAACTCATGCTTGATTTGGATGGATCCGAGGGTGCAACCTTTGCTTAATTTGGGTGGATCTCACTTTCAAATTTGAAGACTCTAATCTAGATCAGTGATACAAAAACAATGATAAGTTTGGTGGGGAAGACAATTAATGCTGGAGGGCGACTAATGGCGATGATTGATATTTGGTGGTGTGACAGAGAGTAACAAATTGATAGATGGGCGGAGGCTGAGAGAGGGTATTCTAAGAAAATCTATGTAATTCTCATATTACATAAATCATGTGTTCAATCAAACCGAGGAAAAAAAGAAATGTTAGAGTCACAAATAGAATAGTCATAGAGTTTATGAGCTTACTATTTGTAAACCTAGTACATATGATAACTCTATGAGTGTTATGACAATTATTTTTGTAACGAGAAAAAATAATAATGAAGTGAAAAATTTATTTTTATTTGTACTTTCCCGTCTCTAAATTAATTACACTCTCTGTTTAATGTGTAAAATCTTTTGATTTTAAAAATGATTTTGTTTACAAATTGATAAAAATTATATATTTTTAAACTACATCAAAATAAGATGTAACTAAAATATTTTATTTTATCAAATAGTCAATAAAAAATTTAAAACATATAAATAAACAAAAATTATCGAGAAATTGTAACAATAAAGAAGTAAACTATTTTGGAACGAATGAAATAACTCGAATGAAATAACCCATATTTAAATAGAAATAAATAATGAAAGTAGGACACAAACTCCAAAACCCACATTAATTTTGTGATTGAGAGAGTGACATATAGTGTGAAGGGCAAAGATAAGTTTTGCTATTAACAAGTTACAAAATCCAAGGGGCAGAATGGTCCGGGGAAAAAATATATGCATAGTAAATGCTAACGTTATATGCCCTTCTTTCCCCACTCGGGCCGCCCATATTCACAAATTCAAAATTTATTTGGATCCTTCTGACAAATAAATAGTCCGTCTTCCCCAAAAATCCCATTTCCTTCTGTTACTCCCCCAAATCTCCATGAACATTGAACCAGACTTCTACTCTCTCTCAGAAGCTAGGGCTTATCCATCCTTTCTCCAGCTCTTCCCTAGAAACTCCTCTGTCCGAATCGATCGGAGGAGAGATTTCTCGCCGGAAATCCGCACTTCCGGCTTCAGAAGCTGCTGAGGATCACCTTTGTTGCCGGAGAAACGCGAGTGAAAGCGCGGTTGAATTGAAATACTCGGTTGTTGTTTCCGGAGAAGAGGCGGCGGTAATGGAGGAGGAGATGGAGGATGCGGTGGAGTTCACGTTCACGGTGGTGGAGATTGACCTGGATTACGAATTCGACGCGCCGCGGTACTTCGATTTCAGCGGCGGCGAGTCGCCGGCGGAGGCGCGTGCAGCTGAGACCTGGTTTGAATCCGCCGGCTCATATCCGCCTTCTCGTAAGCTCCATTTCCCCCTTCGTCTTCTCCTTCTCGTTCTGTTTTTTATTTGTCTTTAATTCCTTCATGAATTTGGATTATTTGAGTTTCTGCCTGATATTGTTAACAATTTCATTTTTAAATTTTTACTCGCATTTGATTAATTTCATTTGATTATTTGAGCTGGTTGCCTGGTACTGAGCATTCACATTTGACATTTAAGGGGACGGTTATTTTAGAACACAGTAATTTATTTTTGGGGTAAAATTTTGAACCGTGCCGTTACAAATTGGACTTTTAACCATTTCAAAACAGACACAGAAACTGTGAATGTGAGGTAAATGTACGAGTAATTTTTTTTTTAAAAAAAAAATCTACTGTTTGTATCTTTTGTCATATGCTTTTATTGCCGCAACCATTGCCTGCAAAAAATGGCTTTGGCTAACGCCCTTTTCTTGTTGATGTTTCGCTGTTGTGAGCAAAATTTCTTGCAAAATCTATTGTGTGTAGGGTCCCTTTTTCGGCCTTTTCTCAAGATCGGAGCGTCACCTGATCTCACATTCGCACAAAAAGAAATTAGTCTCCTACTGGGGACCGCAACACAATTTGCTTACTCCTTATTTTTAATTTCCAAATAAAAAGTTAGAAATCATATTTATCTTTATTTATTATTACTCCAGATTTCATTTAGTGTTCATATTTTTTAGACCACATTTAGTTTTCAATTTTAATTCCTTTTTTTTAATTTAGCAATTTTTATTCTTTTAAAGTTGCACTTTCAAGTTAACAAATACTATTCTTTTCCGTTTATCAAAATAAATTTTACATTTTTCTTATCTTTTAAGGAAAAAGAATTGTTCAAATCATTTTTAGTCCTCCTAAAGAATTTCTGAAAATATATTTTTTACTTTTCATTATTTTTTTAAAAACTCCTTGAAATCAAATTTTAAAATTTATCTTAGGATGGAGGGAGTATTATTTTTGAAAAAAATATAAATTTTGATTCGGGTGGAGGGAGCATCATTTTTTAAATACTCCGTATGTAAATTTTGATGATATACTCCGTACTTTTTTTATTACAAAATTGATTATTCTAATATGGAGTACTAAATTAAGGGTGTGTTTGGTTGAATGGAGAAAATAGGAGAGATAATTAACCCACTTCCCCTTATTTGGTCAACACATTAGTGAGTAGAGAAGGCCAAAATCTCATTCCAACCAAAGTCACCTAGGTATTACACTATCTTTAGATTGATCAATAAACAAACACGTGTCTTGCTCACCAGATTCAGCACAAAATCTTGAATATAGAATTGTAAAAGACCCAATCCAGAAACCAAAAATCAAATGACTATGACTCCACAACTTAGATTGGGTGCCAGATTTGCATTTATGGTAAAATTAGCATTTACCCAAAACCTATATGACAAATCCAAACTTTTGTTATTCAATATTGCTTCCTATTTGAGTTGAGAATAGTGGCAGGTCTACACGGTTCTGTCTGAGACCACCATGTCTTCCCAGTTTCTGTCCATGGGAAGTTCGTGAATGTATAAAGTTTGTCAAAAGATTAAGGTCATATTCTGATTTGATCTAGTCTCATCTGGGCTGATCTGATCATAAATACAAACTTTTGTAGACTTATAAACTATTTCTAATATGATTCTAATAAAAGTGATAAGTAAAAAAAATAAGTTGAGGAGAACATGACCTAAATCCTTTTGGGATTCCAAAGCAATTCATTTTCAGATTTTCAAATAATTTTATAAAAAATTCCCCTGTTAGAAAAAAAAGTGTCTTATTAGTCTGCAGCTCGTTTAGAATACTTTATTATGCTTATGCATGCACCATTTCTTTGCTTTGTGCCTTTGTCCGTTGTATGGTCAATGCTGGTATATGTCTTTGTATCATGTTCATGATTTCTCCGTAACATCTGTTTATGCTTTCAGCTTTTGTCAAAAATCCAATTTCCAGTGTAGCCAATTGGTGCGGAAAGGGAAGCACCTCCCCTAAACCCAAAGATGCTGATAGTATGAGTCTGTCAGAAAGTGAGTCTGATAATGAGTTAAATCAAGAATATTATTCTACACACGTGTGTAATACAGGTATTATAAATCTGCTAGGCAGTTGCCAATACTTGGAAATCATCTATAATTAAATGAAATCTATGAAGCTTTCTTGACTGGCAGAGCTAATTCCTGGCCTTTTGCATATACTCCGAGTAGTTTTAAAAAGTGCAACAAACATTCATGTATTTATGGTTTCTTCAGTTGTTCAAGGAAATGGAGCAGTAATTGCACCTACTTTTGGTAGCACCAAGGTGGCAAACTTTCAGAATCCACCCCAAGTATTACCATCAGGTTATATGGAGTACTTTCATTTGACAAAGAGTCCCCCCCCCTCCCCCCACACACATGCACGCATGCGTGCACGCACAAACACACACAGAGAGAGGAGAGAGAAAGAGAGAGAATATGTTTATCTGATCTGAAGTCATTTATTTGCAGGTCTTACATTCTACAATCACATCGAAAAAGATAAATCAAAAACTAAAATTAAGTTTGGCGGGAAGCCTTCTTATCCCAAGACCTCTACTCTAATGAAGCCAACAGCAAGTCACCTGGCCAAGCAGAATCCGTCCCTAGTTGGTGGAGTAAGGTGGTGTATATCATACTAGTACATGCTTGTTTTATAATTTTGAATGGTTGCTGTCTTTGTGGTTGCAATATTCAAGGTCATTGCCTAATAATTGTTTGGATGATACAGAGCTGAGTTTTATTTAAATATTGCATGTTCTACTTGCATGTTTTTCATCCTGAAAAAAGTGCATTTGTAAAGTTGCTCTTCTTGTATTTGTTTATGAACTTCACTGCTTTTTATCTTTCTTTGTAGTTTCAAACGACATTTGGTTTACATCCCATTTGTACTTTTGAATGCTAGATCTCTAAATTTTATGCTCGAGAGAAGTGAACTAAACACAATTGTTAGTGAGAACCAAGCAAAAAAGAGGCAGAAGCTTGAAGGCGGTTTGCTGCACAAGGTTTTATTCTTCTCCTTTTTTTGGGAGGATGGCTTACCACAACATGCATAAAACATACTAACCAGCCCCTCCACCCTCTGTATGATAGGTTGCTGATACAAACACACAGGCGAACTTTTTTCATAAGATCCCAAAGAAGGTAATTGCTTACCAAATATTTGATTAGCTTGTCCTTTCATTTTGAGTCTCTACATGTGATGTATATATTTCATACACTCCATATATTTCAAACAAGAGTCGGGTTTTGTCAAGGTTGAATATTTAAATTTTGGCAGGGTACAACTCCTAAACTTGGGGAAAAACCACAGAAAGAAGCAGAAAATGGGGAATCGGGTGTGTACAGATTTAAAGCCCGTCCTTTGAACAGAAAAGTATGTGTATCTGTCTGTGTATAGGTACACGTTTATTATTTGGGTATAGAGTTTTTTCCGTATTCATAGATATTCATGTTTGGTACAGATATTTGAAGCTCCCTCATTTCTTCCAAAGAGAAGTACCCCACAACCTCCCCAGTTTCGAGTAAGTATAGCGTAAGATCTCTATGGACTTACTGTAGAAACAATAATTTTTCCTTGAGCATTTAAGTGAACATTCAAATTGGTCTATTGTCTTGGTTTTCAGGAGTTCCGTTTAAAGACATCGGAGAGGGCTATGCAGCACAACTCGGCAGTTTTATCTTCCAATGCTGTTTCCAACTCTACCAATAAGGTAGATTTTTCAATCCTCTAATGAAGTGCTGAATAGTTCCTTTTTTATTCCAAAAATATTGTTTATGGTAACTATTTCAAAACGTTTGTATATCCCCTCCATCATTCACCTTATAATATCAGTTTTGTGATAAGGTAGTGTCATTTCAGGTATTTCAGAAATCAAATACTGGTTTCACCCTTGAGTGTGGAAACATAGAAGTTAGAAGGTAATACAATTTATGATGCACCGTACTTGAGAACATGAGTGTAACATTTATGCTTATCCCAATCTAACGACATTACATTTTATCATTAAATTAAATATCTGTATTGAAATGTATTTGCTGTCCAGACCCAATGTCATGGACCAAGTGAAACAAGAAGGATCCTTGCCAACACACAATTTCAAAGCTCTCCCTCTTAACAAAAAGGTAGAACGAAGGTCTGCGATTAAAAAAGCACGGTTTTTATAATTCTATAAACTAACAAATTCTAGTTAAATACAGATACTATCAAGCAGAGGTGATATGGGGGTTTTCCGTAACATAAAAAAGGAAACCACCGTGCCAATGGTATTGTCCTCGGCTCCTCGAATCATTTTGGGAGTTGTTAGCTTTATGTTATGTCACCAATTCTGATTGTATCTATTCCATACAATACAGGAATTTAACTTCAGTACTGAAAAAAGAGTTCACCACCATAACCCACCAATTGAACTCTTTAACAAGGTAAATCAAAAAAATCTCAATTGTCCCACAACCTTTTATTGTTATGTTTTTACTATGAGAAAGTGGTTCTTGCCTTAAGTATTAGGGATTTTTATAACAATATTGTACTCCCCTCGTCCCTCAAAAAGGCTTACATTTGTAGGTCATATCAAATACTAATGTTACTCCTTAGGGCAGGGGAAATGTCCTACAGCTCTACTCTTTATTCTCTTGAGTGGGATTTACTCTGTTTGATTTACTAATACCAATGCTATTGACATAGTTATCTCTGACTTGTGGAACCCAACCGTGTGCCGATGCTTCTTTAAGGTTGCAACAGCCTGCACGCATATCTTCAAAGGTTTCACTTTCTCAATATCATTTTCATATAAAAGCTGTTGTACCACAAATTTTGATGAAGCTACTTTTTTCTTTTTGGTACAAGGGTTGTAAAGAAAATAGATGGGCTCACTTCCAACAAAATTGTGAGGTAAGCATATAAAAAACTTAAAACCTTTGGTTACTTTGGACCTGGCTTTCTGGACCATTTGTTGGATACTAAGTTTTTATCCGGGGTCGTCAAATGGCTGGGTTGGATAAATTAAATTTCAAATTATTTATCATATCCATAAAAATAATTTAATAATTTATTGTATAAAAAAGTTATGAAAAAAATAGTTTGAGTGCACATTTGTAAAACCCTCAAAAAGGTTCAATCCATCTATGTGGCTGGTGGATATACAAATGGAATGGATGTTATTTCATGAAATCCATCACTTCTTCCGCCCCACAACATTGTCATCTATGGTTGAAATACATTTTGTTAACTTTGATTATGCCTAAATGTTAAAAATTATGAAACAATATTTACATCTTTAAATTCAATTTTTAGTTCAATTTAACTAATAAAAGTTTACCTGAAAAAGCGGTTTCCTCTTCCGAATCATGCATTTCCCCATTTTTTTTCTTGTGTTTCCCCACAGGTAAAAGAGACAGACAAGAGAGAAGTCACAAGGTCTTCTTCATGCAAAGCAGATTCAGAATTTCGCAGACGGGTTTGTTGACAACGGCTTCAGGTAATCTTATTATGATCATATCTTTGTTTTCAATTTAAGCATTGGTTTCGAACTTTTGGAGAAGACAACTCTGATAAGTCAGCCTTCTTGTATGAATTCGGCAGGTTGATACAACATAGCACAATGTAAATAGAATGGTTAGAAACTTTGATCTGTTGCCTTCTTGTCTTCGTCTTGATGGGTACAAAGGCTTTTTTGTGTTTGGCTTCGTCTTCTGAAAAAGAGAAGGAAAAAAAATCACTCTTACACCTCAAGAATGTACTCGAAACTCCATTGTCTCTATACCAAAAAAAAGTGTTGTATGTGGTGAAAATGTACATTTATTTCTTCTTTTTTTGCCAATGAGAATGTTAAAGTCACTCCAACTCTCACCCACCTTTCACTCCCCACCTCCTTTACATTCATTTACATACATTGAATACTTTGAAAGGTGGGATGATGCCCCTAACATGACCCAAATCATGCTAATACGGTTAGAAATCTTGCCCCACTAGTTTTGAAACAATCTAAAACACTGTAAAATTGAGGCCAATTTGCCCGTGCCATAGATCATTTGACCCTCCCAGGGGGCGTTTTGAAAGTTGTAGGGGGTAAAAGGGCGGGATCTAGGGTGGGGTGAGGGTTTGGGGAGGGGGGTAAGAACCATTAATTTTACGAACGGAGTACCAGAGGAGCTCCAAATGAGCGAGTATCATCCGTTGACAATGGATGCCACCTTGCTGATATTAGAGTTGGTTTTAATAAATCATCAACAACATAAGCTTATGCATAAAGGTTTCTAAACAAATGTGTTTATTCAAATAACTTCTCTAAAAATATAGGTAGTTCAAAGTTTCAAATGTGGTTGTATTAATTTTTTTTATTTGATATAGTGATTTGCGATCACTTGCTCCCGTCCCACTATCTTTGGAATAAGAAAAAGTGCCGGAATTGAAAAAATAACATAAAATTGTGTGGTGATGCGAATAATTTTATTATTAGTTTTTCGTGCAAATGTCAATATTAGATTCAGTACTTCATATATCCAATGATCTTGAACATATGGAATAAGTTTTACGGAATAATAAATTAGATTAAAAATGTGCTATGAACTAAAGGAAATGTGGTTCACTATATGAAACAATAGAGTACGTGAGAAGAACATCCATTGTAAGAAATTTGCACGTAATAGTTAGCTTTTGAGAAACTTGATGATGGGTTTATATAACATAGGGTTCTCCCACCTTAATAGTTTGCTTTTGAGTGTTTCTTGTTAACATATTTATAGGATCCAAGGGGCACACAATTATAAATTACTTATAACTAATTTCAAATCATTATCCACATAACACCAATATTTAGGTGTTCGACAATACTTTTAGTTAAAGAATTTTGGCTTTTGAGTTGGATAGAAACAAATTGGTGATGTTTAGGAGTGTGTTTGGTGTATCTTTTTTGGCTTTTACTACATATAGAGAAATTGGCTTAGTGTCTTTTGATTTCTATAATAAAAATATAAAAAAAATCAAAAAGTAAATTCAATACCAAACACCCTCTCATTGTACGTTCTCATCGTAGTCCATGTATCCAATGAGCAATGAAGCTTATTGCCAATTTCCTAAGGATATGTACGGCACATTTTTTTTTTTTTGCCTTAGTCAGAACTTCGAATAAATGTATATAAGGAATTAGGTCTAGTATCTCTCTCCGTCCAAAAACGATAATCCCTATTCGAACGACGTACAAAATTTTGTGATTTCTAAAATAATTTTATTTACAAATTGTCAAATTGATATAGAAACAAAAAATACTAAAAACAATTATGACACAACCGTGCCATAAATGTTTTAGTATTTTTTTTACTTAAATGTATTCCATAAGACAACACCAGAAATAACATCAATGGGGGGTATTTTATAAGACGACTTCATATGAATATTTATCCCGTATCGTTTAAGAAAATCTGTGAGAAGCAATGATATCATTTCTTGATTTGGTTACAAAGATTGGTTTCTAATATAAAAAGTGATTTATTTAATGAGCATTTATACAAAAATTTACATACTCATAATTAAAAGAATTTAAAATGTTGACATATCTCAACATTGGCATATTTTTCTACTAAATTTACATACACTCATAATTAAAAGAATTCAAACAAACCCAACTATTACTATTGAATGCCTTCTACTACTCTATAATATCAGTATATCAAGATAGTAATAGAACCTTGTTTCTAGCTCTTAGAATGTTACCCTCTTTTTTCTCCAAAAAATAAACTAAGATTCTTCCCGTATGTCCCATACAAACTAACCCGAAATGGGGAATAAAACCGACCAAAACAATTAACACTGATAAAGCATAGTGAACAAAGCTTGGTGCATCCTTTTTCGATGGCCAAATTTTCAATTTTTACTCTTGCCGTACCAGAGTAGTATTCAGTCAAAGTGAATAAACTTTGATCAGTTATACAAAAATTACATTGCGTATAAATACAATAAATAATTTTATGAAAGTTTTTTTTTGCATGATGGAATCACTTTTGTATTAATATGCAATGCAATTTTTATTACATTGATGATCAAAGTTCATCCGGACATCCGGTTTGATTGTAAAATGGGAAACTCGGCAAATACTCTGGGACAGACGTAATAATCATTTCAATTTTGCATCCCAATAACAATATTTCTCCATTGTTCATAGTGATTTTCCTGTTGGGAAAATTCAAAAGCATATTTACTAAGGGGAAACAATAAAAAACACTACGTATACATCAAACACGCAAAATCAAAATTAAAGAGAGAAAATGTGGTGTACTTGTTTGTACCTTCTTCAATCTGAACTTCTACTGAGGAATATTGGAGCAATCAACATTTTGGTTTGTCCACTCCATGCCTTTAATGACCCCTACAAAAGCCAATGAGAATTTGACTACACAATTCAAGGAATTGTTGAAGAAAATCACTCTCCATCCGAAAAGGAGTAACATTTACTCTTTTGTCCAAACAAAAAGTCTTGATTAAGATAAACTTTCTTCCTCTGTATAATTTACGAATAGTCGGACAAGTTACACATGTAATAAAATTAGTCAGACCATCAAATAAATTTAAATTATGCAAGTACAGTTTGCGATATACGCTACATGCACAATGGCAAAAATGACTACTTAGAAGGGGGGGGTTATGAAGTAACTAACCGCCAACACAACAACCCACGTGGTGTAGCCCCACAGGTGAGGTCTGGGGGTGGGTGTATACAGACCTTGCACCTACGTTTAAAAGGTGGGTAGACTCTTTCCAAAAGGCTCCCGGTTGAAGAAATCAACCGGGAAACTAACAACCAATGGTTGAAATTTCTATTTTAAGTCAGCCTCATTCAACAAGTTTGTGCGATGAATTACACTAAAGTGTCACCAAGTGTGCCCCCGACCTTGCCTCTTTACACAGATACGGACATACGTGTGGGGCAAGGATGGGGACACTGTAGCACAACTTTTGTGCAATAGCTAGCTTGTAGATAAATGATGGGACAAACTTTTGTAGAAAACAGAGTTGAGCCCTGAACACCGGCATTCAAATGTATGATTTTGAATTGATTTTTCACCTTTACTAAAACAACATTTTATACAACAACCCAGTATAGTCCTACTCTGTTGGGTCTAAGAAGTACACAGTCTTAACTCTTAACCCAATAAAAACAGATAGCCCGTATGTTGTTTCCATTAGACCCTAGCTAGACGAAGCCGCTAGAGATTCGTTTCAAATGAGTTTCACTATGTTGTCTCCTCCAGATCCTGAAGATTGCTACACTTACTCCCCAAAACTTCACATACAGTAAGAAGCAAGATAAGTTTAATGTTCCATCATAATTTAGTCCATTATGTGCCTGAAACTAAAAAATTGTCAATAATGACTTTTTTAGCTCCATTGGCAATGGACAAACAATACAATTTTACATTACACAAAAGTAAATTTGAAATATAGCACTCATCAACATCGTTATAAAAAATAGTGACAACGTTTCATGCCGGATGTCCATCATGTTGCAACCTTCATAAGAAGGAATAATGATACGAAAAATTTAAGATTCTCACCATCATAGGTCGCTAGGTTGACTCGAGATATTTGGTATTGTCAATCACGGAACAAGGTCAAAATTAAAATTTACCACTATACGAATATAAAGTACAACTTTTAAGAAAACGAAATTACATGAATAATTTGTATATCACAAGCTTGATGTCTGAAACTAATATTTATTAAAAAAAATCATCTCAATAAACTGAGCATCTAACCGTCAGTTATAATCGATACAAAAGCAATATACTTTTATCATTTATTAATACCTTGTGAAGAAGAGTCAAGGATAGAGGCATTAACCAAATCCTGGAGGTACATCTAGATCTTCATCAGGACCATCAACTAGCTGATTGTGATCTATGGCTTTAGAAAACCCAGGAGGACGTGCACGTGTATCGTCCTCATTATCGTTGCCCAAACGATCCCGTGGGCAGTGGGTCTCTGAAATGAATTCCTCTCTTATATTCCCATCACGAGGCGTAACAGAACCAGGAGGTTCATTTGGAACACCATCAGATAGTTTACCATTGATTTCGCTTCTAGTAGTATGGCCATTACTTTCAAGTCCCTTCTCATCTGACTGTGACTTTGCCTTATAAGACGTTTCACCTTCTTCATTAATGTTTGGGTTTAATAACTTATTGCAGACAGATTGTACTGTTTCTGCTATTTCATTCTGCATGCCATCCATAGATCTAATTACCTTCCAGATACCATCAGAAATTTCACTCATGACTTTCGTCCTATGAGTTGAAACACAAAAAATGTTAGACTTGGACTATAGATCATGAGAACATTGTCATTTAGCAAGTCCATAATAAACCTATTCTTTTTTTTGCAATGACTAATTAATATAGAAACTTTTGAACAAGGGCAGCAATAAGGTTTACAAGTGGGGACAATGTTCAATGAGCATGTCATATTTACCCCAAAAATTAAGACTAGAAAACTTAAGAGGTCCCTTTATTACCGAATCTGTTAAACCCAACAAACAAAACCACAAAAGTAGCAACTTACCCAACTTCTTGATATATGGCATCAGAAAGTTGCCTTGGTTTCAATCTTTTGGCACTCGGATGATTAAGTGCTTTTGATTGCCTCACAGCTAACATGAGACTATCACGCAGCTCTTCCTATAACAAAGTTTGTAATGGTTAGAACACATCTCATTCCTTGTTTTTATTGATGCTTGTTTTGAATATTTAAATAACATTCATGTTTTACGCTACTGGCGTTTTCCTTTCATACCAAACAGGAAAATTTAATGCTACCTAAACCACTAAATCTGCAGAAGATGCCAAGACACCAAAGGAAGAAAATGTAGGACACAACAACAAGAACAACTCAATATAACCTCAACTCCGTTGGGATCTGAGGGTCAAGATGTACGCAGTCTTACCCCAGCAAATACAGAGAAGTTGTTCCCATTAGACCCTAGATGCATTGCTGCATTTACTATCCAAAACTCCATAGAGAGTATGAATCAAAAGAAGCTTAATGTGCATTTTTTATTTAGTCCATTATGTTACCGAAATGGACTAAATGTAGGACACCAACTCCATGAATATCAAAATGTTTTGAAACCAGGCCTGGGTAAAGAGTTCCGTTCTTTGAGATAATTGTATGATATTTGAGATAATGTAGGAAGACAGACTTACGGAAAAGTATGGAAGATCTACTGCAAACAAGGAAAACTACAATGAGCATACTCCTAAAAAAAGGGTTATATGTACTAAATATTTAAATGTTTGAGGTTATAGCGCCATTTCCCCCGAACTCTTCATAAACTGCACGCTTTCCCCCAAAATTCTAAAAGTGCACCATTAGTCTCTAATTCCTTATACTTAAAAATGGTGCATGGTTGGCCCCCATGTGCGATTTTTCAAACGTGTTGAAAACACACACTTATGGTGCAACTTTGAACTGATTTTAAGCAATATATGACATGTTAGTTGTTAAAAATATCATTACATAGATGAAACTTTATCTTCTACTCCCTCTATCCCACAAAAGGTTTCACATTTCTTTTTTCATCCGTCCCAAAAAGGACTCTACTTTCTATTTTTTAGAAAAGTTTTCATGGCCCATATAATATTTCTCTTCTCTGCACTATTTTCAATTACAAAATTTTACTTCTATTAATCTTCGTGCCAAGTTAAATGTGGAACCTTGAAAAATCAGACATGGGGGCCAACCCTGCACCATTTTCAAAATTTTAAGAACTAATAGTGTACGTTTAAAAGCTTGGGGGAAAGCACACACTTTATAAAGTGTTCGGAGAAAATGACGCAAAAAACTCTTAAATGTTCTATATATGGTTTCAACAATTGAGCTACTCGTTTTCCTTGATGAAGTTAGTACTCTAAGTTATTTGGTACCATTAATAATGTTTTCCCCTTTTTTTCCTGGACTTTACTAGGTCTAATGTTCTTCTTGTAATGCTAATTTCCTTTTGGAAGCTAAACTTGAAACCCCACTGAACTTTGATTCAGCCACAAGTTATTTATTTAGTGAACAATTCATGATTACTGCAAACAAAATGGAACAGGAAAAAATAATGCTAAGAAGCAAAAAGAAAAATGGGATTCGAAGTAAATTAAGGGGGAATACAAAGAAAGGACACTCACATCTTCTTTCACTTTCCGGACGACTTTGAGGCGGAGCCGATCGAAATCGCCGTCGTCTTTGATCTTTGAGATCACATCCTCCGCCTTGATTTTCCCTCGATTAAAACCACCGGTTTCCATTAATTTACTTGTACACACTACACAGCAGGGATCGAAGCTATTGCAATAGCGTCAGTGCTGGATATCTGTGTGTTTGTGTTTGGTTAACAGGGATTGATTGGGCCGCACTTGGGCGGGGCATAGGATTAACTCTTTCTCCCACAGGCCCAAATACCAGCTTTCTTCAACTCTGTACTCAACTCTCTAGGTTTATACTTCCTCCGTCATACTGTAAATTAAATTACATGTTTATTATTTATATGATTAAATTTTATTCACTATTTTTTTATATTTTTGTTATTAATTTGATCAAATAATATAATCATGTCGCCACTAATTTTATAGATTTTTTGATGTAATTTTAGATATATAATTTTTATTTTTAAATATGCAATTTAAAAATAACTTCAGTCAAACATCGTAAACCGAAATAGGTAATTTAGATTGGGACGGAGGGAGCACTAGGTAAATAAAGTTTATAAACACCTTGGATCAACTTGACCAGATGATTCTAGATCATGAACATGTATTCTCCTTATTTCATAATGAATGTCACTCTTTGAACAATATGTAAAATTTATCATTTTTAAAATTATTTTAATTACAAATTCATATAGAAATAATTAATATGTAAATAAAATTGTTCAAAACTATACAAAAACTATACAGAGTAAGAAAATGACAAGAATACTTTATTTTATCAAATAGTCAATGAAAACATACAAACAAACAAAAGTTATCAAAATGTTCTAACGGTAACAAAGACATCTATTTTGAGACGGGGAGAGTAATTCCTAACTCGAATCCAAAATTGTCAAACCTCATATAATTTGAATTGAAAATGATCAAATCCGATTTGCTAGCTTTAACTATTTCTTTGAACCTTAACCTTAAAGGCATATTAAAAAATAGTTATGTGGTTTGCATCATTTTCTTTCCTCTACAAAAATGACAATGACACGCATTTCACCTTATTCCTACATCCGTTCTTGAGGATGTATAATTTTGACTTTTTGTAGTTAACTATTTTCATCATTTGACACATAATAAAATAAGGTATATATCTATTATATATATAAAAGAAGGATGCAAATTGAGAATCCAATTTTCCCCCTAAATCAGATATCTACGGCCCAATTTCATTATTAATAGTCATGAAAAGATCCACGCCACACATTAAAATCAGTGGCCCAATTTCAATTTGAGAATAATCAACAGCATCCTAGCCATTGATTAACTTTATTAAATTCTCCAAAAAAAAAAACTGCCGTGGTAACTTCCCAAATGCAATCTTTCCCAATCGCCACAAAAATAGGGCAAACCGGTCTGGTAACTTCCCATCTTCGTCGGAACTCAATCACGTAAACTGCACATTACTCAGCATTATATATCTCTGTCCCTACTAACTTCTTTCCCTACGATTCACTTCTTCAAGCATTAAACATGTCGCTAAATTGGACTCCCCTCAACAGGCTCAATCCTGCAAGACATCAAGATGCTGTGAAATTGAGGCTTTTGCGTCATTACGATTTAAAGACAAGAAATAGCACACAAACAACGGTCTATGGGCATGAGGCAATCTTTCAAGATGACAAGGTATTCATGACTCTCAAATTCAAAAGATTATTTACGATGTTATTCTTGTGTACAGTTCTAAATGCAGTTTAAATGTTCATTTTTGAACATAGGGTAATCGCATCCATGCCTTTTGTGAGAAGCCATTGATACCACACTTTGCGCCTTTGCTAAAGGAAGGGCAATTACATGGGATAGAAAACCCTATTGTCTCAAAGAATACTCAACTTTTGACCGACAACCGGTTCCAACTGACGTTTGTCAAGGAAACACGAATTTCTGATCTCAAGGATGAAAGTTTCCCCAAAACTGTTTTCAAATTCGACAGTTTCAAAGAACTGAACAATGTTTATGATATTTCAAGTCGTATCATGTTTGGTAATACTAACAAACTTAATTTGAACCTACTCTTAATTTGAACCTACTCAATTTATTATTAGATTTATTTATATGTTTAGTAACAAAATTCCTATTGCATCTATAGATCTCATTGGTTTACTACATGTTGATCAACCTCCAAGTACAAGAATTGGAAAGAGCGGCGTAGACATCCGAGTCATGGATATATTTCTTGAGGATTTAGAGTACACTTAGAATATTTTTTCATATTGGTGTTTATTTGTTCTTTTATACAATAAGTACCAAAATCAAACTCCTAATGCAGTGGCGAGAGACTCCCTTGTACGCTTTGGAGTTCATATGTGGATCAAATGTTGGAGTTTTTGAAACAAAAACCACTGCATCCCGTTGTGGCAATCATGCACCTATGCAAAGGAATAGTTTATCATGGTATAACCTACATCTTAATTTGTATTTCTATTATTAAAAAAACTACAGGTTATTGGAACGGGGTGTTACTCCACATGAAGTTCTCAGCTTAAGTGCTTCTACATCGAAATCAATGCCGTCACAGTTTGATGTAAAGACTTTGGAAAAAGTTTGTGAAGATTTTGAGGTTTATCTGTTTACATCATGCATTGCCCACTTTATAGCATAAACCCCCAATAAGAATTAAAAAAAACAATACATAGCCGGGGCGTTTATGAGCAGTCTTATGTATATGTCAGTATATTTTCCATTCTGTTTTAAAAATAATAATTTGGAAACTTAAGCAAATAAAGAATTTTCATTTTTCAATTTAATTTGAATTGAACAAAATGTTTTCTGTTTCAAAATTTATGCCTAAAAAAATACTTATTAATTACTTCGTATATAACTTAACTGTTTTGTTTCACAGAAAGGGCGTGTTTGGATACTGTGTAAAATTGTTGCCTTTGCACACTATGGATCATGGTGTTATACCTCCTGCAAAAAGTGTTACAAGAAGGTGATACTTACAAATGGAATCAACTTTTGTGCAGACTGTAACCTAGATGGCTCTGTTCTCAGGTAGCTATATATATTTGATGTTTTACAGAGTAAGAAATTTAACCTTAACTAAAAGCGTTTAAATAACTATTTTATGCTTTGAATTAACCATACAGGTACCGATTGCAAGTACGGGTTGTGGATGAAACAAACAACCTCACTTTGACCTTATGGGATAAGCAATGTATTCCCCTTTTTGGAAAGCATGCAGGAGATTACTTACATGACAGCGTATGGCCTTATGCTAACATGTACCCACAAAAGGGTCAAGTTTTTGTGAACACACTATTGCTGTTAATATCCTGATGATTATATAACTGTTAATGGAATTGTACATCCCACATTTCGTGATGCATGTTGTGCGTTGGGATTGGTTGACGATGATAAAGAATATATAGATGCAATAATTGAAGCAAGCAGTTGGTCATCCGAGCAAAGTTTGCGAAGTTTGTTTGCAACATTATTGACATCTGAGACATTAGTACGCCCAGAGGATGTTTGGGATAAGTGCTGGACTTATTTGTCTGATGACATTCTTTACCATCGACGCAAACTTCTCAAATACCCTGGTATGTATAGTATATTCAGTTTAATTAAAGTATAAAACATTTAAAACTAAGCAACTACAATATCATCTATTCCTTTATTTTCTATTTACAGATTTACATCTTACCGAGGCAGAGATCAAAAACTATGCCCTTGCCGAGATAGAATCTTTGTTACGTAGTTATGGCAAAAGTTTGCGTGACTACAAATCCATGCCATACCCTGAAGCACAATACTTTCAATTATTCGAAGATAGAATTATTAACGATGAATTGTGCTATGATCGGGGAAAAATGATTGAAAAGCATCAAAGACTATTCTCTCAAATGACTGATGAGCAGAATTACGTGTACACCTTAATTATGACTGCCATTCAAAGCAATGAAGGTGGTATGTTTTTTGTTTATGGGTATGGAAGAGCTGGAAAAACTTTTTTGTGGAAAACATTGTCTTCTGCATTGCGCTCAAAAGGAAAGATTGTTTTAAATGTTGCATCAAGTGGTATTGCTTCTCTACTATTACCTGGAGGAAGGACTGCACATTCACGATTTAAAATTCCTATAACTCCTAATGAAGAGTCAACATGCAACATTCAACAATGTACTCCTCTAGCAAAGCTCATCATCAAAAGTAGTCTTATAATTTGGGATGAAGCACCAATGACTCACAGGTATTGCTTTGAAGCCTTGGATAGGAGTTTACGGGATATTTTACGTGTGACAAATGTAGAGAATAAGTTTAAACCTTTTGGTGGCAAAAGAATCGTTTTTGGTGGAGATTTTAGGCAAATATTACTTGTTCATCCTAAGGGGACAAGACAAGACATAGTTCATGCAACAATTAATTCATCTTACCTATGGAGCGATTGCAAAGTCCTTAAACTTACCAAAAATATGCGTCTTTCCAAAGATTCTATACATCATTCATTGGAGCTCCAACAATTTACCAATTGGATCGCAAGTATTGGTGATGGTAAGGCTGGTGGTCCTAACGATGTCATAGTTGATATTGAAATTCCTTCTGATCTTTTGGTCCAACATAATAATGACCCAATTCAAGCTATTGTCAACGAAATATATCCTTCAACTGGTGGCCTTCTTGATAATTTTGTACTTGAGGAACGTGCTATATTAGCACCAACGTTGGAAGTTGTTGAAGCACTCAACATATACATGATGTCAAAAAATACATCAGAAGAACGTGTATACTATAGTGCTGACAGTATTTGCCAATCAGATTTGACCTATACTATGATTGGTGATATACATACTACTGAATTCTTAAACACAATCAAATGTTCTGGGGTCCCGAATCATGAAATTAGATTAAAGGTTGGCACACCCATAATGCTGATGCGCAATATAGACCATGCTAATGGTTTGTGTAACGGAACAAGACTAATTGTTACAAGACTTGGAGATCATGTTTTACAGGCAAGAGTTATAACTGGAAGTAAGGCTGGTGAAAACATATTGCTTCCTAGGATTACATTAACACCGTCAGATACAAGGTTGCCATTCAAGCTTCAAAGGAAACAATTCCTTATTATGGTTTCGTATGCGATGACCATAAATAAGAGTCAAGGGCAATCACTGTCCAAGGTGGGCGTTTTATTAAAAAAAACCAGTCTTTACTCATGGGCAATTATACGTTGCCATGTCAAGGGTTAGAAGCCGTTCGGGGTTGAAGATTTTGATATGTAACGATGCAGATAAGCCTGATTACAAGACTACCAATGTTGTATACAAAGAAGTTTTCCAAAACATTTAATTACAGTTTGTAAAGTTTATTGTTTAAGTACATTGTACTTTTGCATTTATCCAATATATTTAGTTTATAATGAATACTTCTATTTCCATTTAATGCCTCATCAAAATTAATTATTAAATTTTATTATTCATTTACAAACAACTATTTACACATCACAACTATTTAACGAAACACTATATTCACAAATTCTTTACATGTATTTTCTTTAACTTACATCTTAAAAAAATTATACTTAACACATAAAGTATGTTATCAATTAAATAATGACATCGGTTACCTGTAACACACAATTTACATAATTTTAAATTAAATTTATATCCAAAAATAATCTAACAAACTATACTTTGCATTTCCCCGTACAACGCACGTGTGAAATACTAGTTGTATATTAATTAGATAAAATAATATTTTAAAAATATTTTATAAGTAAATATAATAAAATTATTTTTATATCAACATCCAATACTATCACTTTTATTTAATTTCCCAAACATTAAATATCAAAACATTATTAGTTTATATAATTATATTATTAAAACATATAAACCAATGGCGGCCCACCCCTAACTATAGGCATATTCTTTCCAGTCTGCATATTTGGTTCCCTCGCATAACCCCTCTCTGGTCTCGATAGTCTTCTTCTTCCACACACACACACACACACACAGCGAGACACATCTTGCAGAGACGAAAACCACAGGCGACCTGCAAAGAACAGAGGCGAATCTAGCGACGAGCGTGCTCTTCTCCGATTCCGGCTTCTTCCTTTAAAAAAGGTTGGTACTTGGTAATTGTTTAGTCTAAAAAGAAAATTTTGAAATGGATATGAGCGGTTGATTCCTGAATCATGACAGTTTAATGTTTGGCATTAAATTTCGATTTTTTGAAGCTTCAATTTTGATTAGTTGATTAGGGAGAATTTACATTGCGGTTTGTTGGATCTTCATTTATTTAGTCCATTTTTAATGTGGAATTTGTCTCATTTCCGAATCCGATGCTTGCATTCGTGATTCATAAATTGTGTTTTTGTTACTTTCATCAAGTGAATTGTGGCATTTTATGTGGGTTAGTTTGCTGTTATTTGGGTTATTTCGTATGCTTGTAAATTGTAATACTTGGATCAGGGATGTGGTGCTCAATATATCTTTTGCTTTCGGTTCAATTTGTTGCATGAGTTTTTTTTTGCCTCTCCATTCTTTAGGTGGGGATTCATTTCAAAAAGCTTGCATTATGTTATTGGAGACAGGAGACCACAAAATAGCCATCACAATTGCTAGACTTTATTTTTTTTTCAGACTCCTACATCAAATATCTAAAAATTATAATGAATTATAAGAATAATAGTACTTAACCTCTGCTATTGTTCTTGGTTTATAAGAAGTTATGGAGAAATTTGAAATGGCGTGTGATTGTGTGGTAACCTATATTAAAGAGGACACATTAATAGGGTGCCTAATGAAAATATTTTTGTGAGGGTTTGAGACTAATGTGTGTAGAAGGGAGCTTCTATAATGTCAAGTTATGTTTTTGTACATGTCTATTATGATTATTATATTTATTAAGAAGCCAAATGTGACTATGTGTGGAGTATACTAGTACATGGTTACATGTCATTTAATCATTTTGATGCATTCATTATTATTTTTTCTCCGTCCCTAATAAACAATCTTGGGTATGCTATTGCCCTTAGAGCTTGTTGAATGGCTTGCCTTTCATCTGGTATCAGAGCAACTTCCTCTGCTTCAACCTCGAATTTCCTTGGCAGGCATAAATGCTTCTCTTCCAAGCTGCAAACCAATCACCTGAATTTTTCCTATGCTGGACGTGTCAATCTCCGGAATAATTTTCCTTATTCCAAGATTTTCACTTCTCACAGGTCGGTTCATCCCGTCTTCAACACCCTCTCTTCTTACAACGGCACATCTAGTAAGAATTCAATATCCATCTCTCTTTGGTCCAAACTGTATTTTCCGAGCAATATAAACTAAACTAGACCCAATTGATTCCCCCCCCCCCAAAAAAAAAAAAACAC